TATAGTAATATGTGGCTGGCTTGAAGTGATGTTCATATCAGAGATTTGTAAAGGTGATGATCTTGATGGCCTTCATGATCTTAGTGGTGATATAAAAAATCTTATCTAAGTTTTCCGTTGTCATCTGGTGAGAAAGAAACTTTCTGTACCAACACAATCATTTCACAAGTGAATAATAGATAGCAAGCGCGCTTCAGAGATGCCCTGCAGACGAAACGACTTTTGCAGGGGCGGATCCAGGATTATTTGAAGGCGGGTGGGGTTGGGGGGGGGGGGGGGGGGGGGGGGGGGGGTAACGGATGCGAAGAGAGTATTTCGTATTTAAGAGAGCGAACGGTGTCATTTGGTACGGTTTAAAAATACCGTTTGATCCAGTTAGTCAAAATTCTAATTTCAAGAGGGGCCTTTTTTTTCAGAAATCGAAGGGGAGTGGGGTCAGGGCCCCCCTAAATCCGCCACTCTAATGCTCCTAGAATGTGAATCCTACTGTAGTACCAGACATTGAACGAGCAGGTATAGAAAACAGTTTTGACCAAGCTCCATTCAGTCTACCGTCATACAAAAAGATTAAAGGCTTCAGCATAAGTGTGTGTGGCCTCGACAATTAAGAGATAAAGAAAAATACAAAGAACATATATAAAGAACACTCCCAAGAAATTCATTGAAATTGTAATTTTGACTAGCTGAATCATAGTTCTAAATCGCACCAAATGGCACCATTTGCAATCTAAAAAATACCAATTTTTAAGCGGGCCCCGAACCCCACGCCAAGGGGCTTCGCATCCGCCGCCTTCCCCCCCCCCCTCCCCCCCCTTCAAGTAATCCTGGATCCGCCCCTGAACTCGTGATAGGCAGCCACTGTCAAAAAAAGAATGCTATTATTCACTGCAGACAGAATACATTTTTCTTCTTCTATGCTTGTCAAGTTATGTCATATGCTTAAGATGCAGTTAGTGTGGAAATTAATTAACACGTAAATTATCAAGTCGACCTGCCTCAAAAATCACCTCTGTGTCTACCCAGCTTCCTATGGTAATCACTGACAAATACAAGAAAAATGAAGGTGAACTGTAATATCTTTCGAATTTTGTTTAGTGAAAGAGCACCGTTTCAGCTTTGGGACGAGTTTTTGGTGTGGATTGTTTACGTATTAGACTATATGTTATTGACTTCAAACTTAAAGGTTTGGGACCGAAGCTTGGAGTGAACATCACATACTAATTGTAGATTAATTAGCGTATAATATCAGAAGGAAAAGAAGAGTGAAAATCGATGTGTAATCAGAAGAGAGGTTGTCAGGTAAGTCATTAACATAAAGGGGAAAGAGCAGTGGACCGAGGATGCTACCTTGAGGGACGCTGGCTTTAATATAGCCTTCTTCAGTTGATTCGGATAACGTGCCATTAACAGATACCCTCACTTTTCTGCTCTGCAGGTATGACGATAAAGTGAAAATAAATTACCTTCAAACCCGTATGCTGACAATTTAAGTAATAACAGTTTATGCTTGACTCTTTCGAAGGCTTCGGAAACAAACAAATCAAGAAATATTCTCTAATGTCCCGTCCTTTTTTCTAAGGTTACTTCTTATCAAATTTTGAATTGCCAGTAGCTGATGCTATGACCTTTGAGAAATCCAGATTGTCCATTAAACAGTAAATTGTTATTTATAACATGATTGATCATATTTTTATATATTATTTTTTCTTAAATCTTTGATACCACACTTAGTAGTGAAACATGCCTATAATTTTCGATGCAGCTTTTATTACCTTTTTTATAAATCGGGCATATGTAAGTCGTTTTCCATATATCCGGAAAAGGTACTGCTCTATAAAATGTATTCCAATAGAACATGTAATGGTTTCGCAATAATATCTCTGCTGATTTTGAGCATTGTAATCGTTACAGAGTCTGGAACACTTGCCTTTGAGCTATCCAAGCTAGCAATTATTGATCTGATCTCCGTATCAGTCACATCCACCTCAGTTTCACTTGTTCTGGGGGGTGGGGGGGGTGAGAGAGAAGAATAGCGTTGCAGTGTCAGTCTCATCGTCAGAGTGATCTTTCTGTGAGAAATGCTTCAGAAATGCTGACAATTTTTCCAACCCAGTATATGCAAAGAGGTGACCAAGTGATCTCGGCAGAGATCAAATATGGCCGACCCACTAGAGTGCTAACTGTTAACAGAACTCTCAAAGGTCTTGTCACCAGTGACAATCGCTGAAAAGTAGCACCGGTCTCACATCACTCTTGCTAGGTAAGGTTTGAGGAATTTTTCATCTGCATGACAGAGAGCTTATGGCTTCATGTGAATTGCTTAAGCGATCAAAGCTGAGCACTACCGACTCGGGACAGTTCCCAAAATTTAGTGATCGCCGTGCAGGCCTTGAAAGGATATCAGTAATATTCGGCATATCCCAACACGTTCTTACCTGTATCTCAATAATCTCTTCACTAAATGCCATGAGGTTTACTTCAAATTCTGAATCATAATATGACAGAGTGTAGCAAAAGTGAAAAGATCAAAACGAGTTTCGACATCATTACCTGCATACGAATAATGTTACTTTCTATACAGCAGTGTCGAAGGGAATATTCACGACAGGGACCCTGGGAGGCAATTTGATTTTGTTGGACAATATAATGGAACTGAAAGTTTTTTTACTAATTGACCAATTGATACTGATGGATTATCAAACTACTGACGATATTTCAACGTGACCACCATGAGATACTTGAGACTCTAGCTCCATCCCACTCCTCTGATGGTGTATATGCAGATTATGCTTGTTGCAAGATTGCCCAATCAAATTCAGTAGCAACTTTCATCTGTTAAAGCAACTGTCGTCAGTTAGATGATATGAAAATGTTTTACATATACCTAGTTTTGGCCTAACAGATAGTAGGAAAGCGCGTCTATCAGTGTAACTAATGTGAAAAACAGAAATATACTAAAGAGATTTGAGATTTAATGTTTTAGGGTGCATTCTCAGAGATTTAGATCGATCCAGAGATTTAGATTTAGATCGACCTAACTCCCTGGGGGTTCACGCTAAATTGCAGTCAGCCGAGCGCGCACCATAGTTAATTACCCCCTTACAGCTTTTAGTAGGCGGGACAGACGCTTAAGCCGGCTAAGCTGACAGTAATCTAGTGAGACTCCCCACAGGGATAGATCGATCTAAAATCTATGGGAATGGGGTCTTAGACCATTATGAATATCAATGACGTCCCAAAACGTAGCTGTGCATCGATTTATTGGACAAATAGGGAGTTTTCTGCCAAAGAATATGATTGGATAATTCATGTAAAGCAGTCACAGCCGACACTGAGTATTCTCATTTAAAGGTGCAGTCCGCCAAACGTTTCATCAGACCAACAGACTCGATCTGACATCCAACAGACCTGCAATTTTCCAGAAATTAATTCATCAGCGGTAGAACTATCGTCTGAAGATGAAGATCACAAGTACCATGCTCGTTTGTGTTGTTTTGATGATGGCGAAACTTTGTGCAGTCGGCGATGCTCGTAAGTACTAAACTTTGCAGGAGATTTTCTCTAAGTGTGGGGGGTGGTCGGCTCATGCCCTAGTTAGATTCCACTTTACCAAAATAACACGATTCAGAGCTGTGCCTCCGAAGACGTGTGTTTTGACAGCGACCCTTGCAGAGTTGAGAGCGGCTTTTAGAGTGTGTTAGGCTTCTCACCTTTAATGAGGAAAGATCGTCTCTGATAGACGATCGTCTCTGATAGGTAGGTACATGTAGATAGGTGTCTCGTCTACCTAGTATGAGATTTATAGATACTGATATATATATATATATATATATATATATATATATATATATATATATATATATGGTGCCCTGAAAAGGTCATTCCGTGATTGGTACGATAGAGGCGTGTCGCCTGTTGAGGGAAGGGGGGGGTGGACCAGTTGCAGATAGCAATATTTTCCATCTACAGTTCTCCGCTCTACCAACTGAGCTATCGCGAGTCGACCGCCGTCTCTTGAGCCATTCATACCGTCCAGCTCGTATCCCATTTGTTGTGGAGGAGAACTCCTCAACAGGATAAAGCATCTTAGACTGAACGGAGACACCTTTGCTGACCGCCTCCGTCCCTAAATGTTTTTTTTTTTTTTTATCTCGGACTCTGCAGCTGATGAAAGTCACTTGTTGACCGAAAAGCGATTTCTGCAACCAGTCCACCCTCCCCCTTCCCTCAACAGGCGAGACGCCTCTATTGTACCAATCACGAAAAGCCCTTTTCAGGGCACCCTATATATATAAATATATATATCGGTATCTATAAATCTCATACTAGGTAGACGAGACACCTATCTACCTACCTATCAGAGACGATCTTTCCTCATAATAAAGGCGAGAAGCCTATCACACTCTAAGGGTGCTTTCCCAGAGATTTAGATCGATCTAACGATTAAGTTTTAGATCGACCTAACTCCTTGGGGGTTCACGCTAAATTGCAGTCAGCCGAGCGGGCACCATAGTTAATTACCCCCTTACAGCTTTTAGTAGGCGGGACAGACGCTTAAGCCGGCCAAGCTGACAGTAATCTATTAGTGAGACTCCCCGCAGGGATAGATCGACCTTAAAATCTATGGAAATGGGCTGTAAAAGCCGCTCTCAACTCTGCAAGGGGCGCTGTCAAAACACACGTCCTCGGAGGCCCAGCTCTGAATCGTGTTATTTTGGTAAAGTGGATTCTAACTAGGGCATAAGCCGACCACCCCCATCACGTAAGTGCAATCACTGTTATTGGCTTAAATGCCAGACACAACTCTAGCTGCTAGGGGCTAATAAGCCGCGCGCACACGAAAGTGAATTATCCCCTAGCATCAAGGAATCGTGTCATACAATTAAACTGATTACACTATCAGCAATTAAGCGGGGTTGGATCGATCCAGGTGGTACGATGTTTGAATCTTTATACATTGTTACAAGGTACTCATAGATTTAATATTAAGTACAGGGGAGATCCAGGATTATTTGATGGGGGGTCCGGAACGACAGGCCTCGGATGCGAAGCCGACCATCGCCCCCTTGGTGTGGGGTTTGGGGCCTGCTCAAGGGTCCTGTAAACAGTGCCCTTTGGTACGGTTTAGAACTAAAAAAAATGGCGTTTTAAACACTTTAATCTAAACACAGAAACTATATAACTTGTCTGCATCTATCCTTAAAAGTTCAGGTCTGTGTATTGCTTTGTGAAAGTTAAGTTTTCGCTGATTTCTCTTTTTTCCTTTGGTAATTCAACATGAAATGTTTTTCACTGTTCTGGTTCTCACCCAAGGGTTTCATTCATTTAATCACCTTATCGATAATTTTCATATTTCTCACTGCAGCTCTGATGATAGAATCCCATTTCCATTGTTCATCTGGCATGCTGTTGTGTAAAATTTATTTATTCATTCACTACAGAACCATGTGTTACATTACTAAGAAAATCACCCAGCCCTTCGGGCTTATAAGACGCTTAATGTACATAACCGTTCTTGTCATTTATGATATATTGTGGCTATATATTTTGCGAGTACATTTTTGCTTTTTTTTTCTTCAGAGGCAGCGGGATGTTGTAAGTAGAACATCAAACTTAGAATATTATGATCTACAGTTTGTTTCCAATCTATAGAGAGAAATCACACTGGTTTTATCATTTTTAAAGAAAGCGT